GTTTATTTTGGATGCGATTAATCGTTTGACAGCACTAATTATATATATATATATATATACATATATATATATGTATATATATATACATATAACTGTACTTGCGGATAATAGAATATTCATAAAATAAAAGGCCACTTGTTATGCTTACTTTTATGTGTTAACTAACATACTAAAACACATGTAAAGGACTTGAGTAATTTTAACTGCATTGTGTTTTTTGATATTACAATTAAAGTATTTTAAATATACTAAATTAAAAATTCATCTTTACAAATGTGTAATTGCATATATATTTAAATACATGACTTGCAAGTTTCAATAGAAATTAAGTTTTTCAAAAAGTATATTCTTCAAATTAATTAATTAATTAATTAATTAATTTATTTATTATTTGTTTTAATAAGTACATCTGTGCTATATGCTGAAATGTGCTTCTCTTTCACAAGGGAAATTTTGCAACAATAGGCAAAACATTAAAACATTAAATATAAATCATGTAATCTGACAAAAAAGAAACTTTTCCATACCGAATACAATAAATAAATAAACACTCTAAATTTGACCCTCAGGCTGGTCAGCCAGTTAATTGAAATGAATCAGCAGAACGAAATGATTCGGTAAAATAATTTAGACTTGCTAGTGCTACATATGAGAGAGTGAGGACTGTTTAGGAGAGTGTGTTTGATTTACCTCAGTTAGCTCAGTTATTAAGCGGCCCACACAATATAATATGACTTTAAAAAGCTGTGATGTAGCATTGTGCCATCCTACACTGTTACTCTGGAAATAGCTTGCTAATGGTGCTTACTAAAGCGGTAGTATTTTGGAACCTGCAAAGCTGCTGTCACACTACTGAAAAATGTGTTTAAGTTTGTATCACTGCTTGTAGTTACTCTTCATCATGGATGAAGCACAGTGCTCATGGAGGCAATGCCAGTTTGACTTTGGCTTGACTCATTTCCTGCTTCCATTTCTTTCAATAATTTCCAATCTGCACATTTTGAGATAAATGAAAGTGGCACAACCAAAATTAAAATATCTGTAAGTATGAAGCTGTCAGTACTGTTTAAAGGTGTGTATAACATATTACTGAATAAAGAAACTGAATGATCGTCCAGTTCATACAGAGACCGTCATCGTCTGTGCAGCAAGTCGCAGAGCTTTAGAGCCAGAGGACCAGTGATCCATCTGATAAAATCACAAATCAGACTATGAGTACCTGCTCCATTTCATCCCACAAGCACATTCATAGGTGTTGTACTGAGTAGACAATTAGTTCTACAACTCACTCATACTTGTGCAGTCTAGTCCCAGATCATGTGTGCTTGTTCAGTGGCACTAGCGACAGCAGGAGGAAAATTCCTCCGTCCACAAACTATGTCCCGCTTTATTTGCTTCTCATTTGTTTCCAATGCCATTCTGTTATGACCAAATCTATTTGGAGAAAATACAGTGAGCATTTGCATTCACAAAGCAAACTGCATGGACAACTTCTAAGATGATCGGTGTTTGATTATTGTTGGGAGAAAATAATTAAATGTAGTGACTAACTTAACTACATTTAGCTTGATTTAACTTCAGCTGTGTGAGAGACACTTTCCAGTTGGCTGCCAGACCCCAGATAGTGCACAGTGTGTCGTTTACACTAGGTAAACATTGATTCATTAGATAGTAGTCAGCTACTGGACAACTAGTCGACTACTAAAATAAAGTAGTCATGCAAGTCCTTATACACATTAGGTCTGGTTACTCCAACCCTAACCCTAGATAGACTTCAATTCCTTTGATAATGAATAATGCTATGTTTAACAAATACCCTTGCCTTGGGGTGGGATCTCGAAAAAACCCAATGGGAGTTTCAAACTCTGGTAACCTGTACTGCTTGAGCATGTGCACTATCCGCCATCTCCGACCCAAACTCATTCCAATTACACAATCCAATGACTTTCCAAAAACTGACCCTGAAGAAAGATTTCAGATAATTGTCTTCCACATATTTACTTACCCCATGGCAATTTTCTTAATCATCTGTGGACCTGCTTATATCAAAAAGACAAAATGAAAATACAACTATCCTATCTTTTAAATGGGTTCCATCCTTTAGCTTGAGACTTTCCAGCATTTTAATTCGGATTATGAAGATTATTCCCCTCAGTCCAATTTCCTCTCCGATTGGAGATAATGTCTGTGGGAGCAGAATACACTCATAAATGAGGGAATGAGCCTATTAATCCAGTAGCTGTAGTCAAGTTTGGGAGATAACTGGGTGGTTACAGTTGGAGATATGGGCAGATAAAGAGGCAGAGTGAAAGGCAGAAATTATTGGGCTGACGTATTTGGAGTAGTTTGTGGGATGGCAACATGCAGTGTGGGACATACCGGCTTGCTGAAACTATATGAACATGTGGGTGGGTGACTGGTTGGCCGTGTGATTGGCCTCCTGTGGCGAGGCAGTGCAGAGCCCAGAGTAATGGTTTAATCAGTGACCAGCAGTATGGAGCTATGCGTTTGCTCCACGGGAATGCTGCGGAAACAAGACTCCATGCTGGCACACTCTAATCCCACTTTGCCTCTTTATATGTGTGTGTGTGTGTGTCATGTGGGCACAAGGGAGTGTGTCTATTTGAATGCACACCAGAACAGCCTTAACATTTTTAACTCCGCAAATCTCCCAATCATCTGAACAGGTCTGAACCCTCAAATCTACACATTTGCGGCAAGATTACGCCATCCATTCCCACATTGATGTCCGCCATGCTTGCTTGCTGTAGTGAGCCTGTGTGATAGCTACACGACTGTGTGATGTATGATGCAGTTATGTATGTCCACATTCCATGGCGGCAACTAAGTGCTCATGGTTTAAAAGAGAACAGGACAAGGATTACAGAACCGTTGAGTGGGAAACCAGTTCAGAGAGTCACAAACATGTTCAAGTGCACTGGGATGAATGGCTGACATTGGCAGACAAAAGGAGCATGCTTTTAGATCCTGTTCTGAGTAACGTCTGACTTTCACATTGACCTCAGTTTGAAAAGGGTTGACTCAAAATCTGAGAACTTTACATCGTGTCTCAAGCAAAGAAAAATGCCATTTTGTGTCCGAAGCTGAATGGATGTACTTGTTCCATTTGTCCATATAACAGAGTCTGCCCATTACTGTTACTTACAGAAGCATGCATTGACTAAGCAGGCTTTGTCGTAAAAAAGTTTCCTATATTTGATTGCAAAGTCTTTGAAGCTACAAGAGCTGAAGGAAAGAATTTCAGGAGTACTGAGCACTTCATTGATCAGTTTTTTTCTGTGCATGGAACTCTGTGGGTCAGATCCACCCCCTCATTTTTCAGCACAATGGACAGCTCCACAGGTTCCCCCTTTCTATTTGTCAGCACCATGGAGAGCTCCACTGCCTGGTTTTTGTCTTCTGTGAGTGGAGGCGGCTGGCGGCCATTTTACATGGCTGGATCTTCAAACTCTTTAAAAGCTCTTGTTCAGGTAAAGTATGCCACTCTCGGGCCCTCTCAGCCAGGCACAATGATTAACCCTACGGCACCTATAGCCCTCTTAACATGTCTCTCTCACTCTCTCTTAAATTGAGTTTAAATGGCAGACGCCACGTGTGGGCAGATAGGGCCGGTGGTGGGTCTAGGGTCAGTTCTCTCCTCTAGGTGCTGGTTCTGTTCAGGTGTTTGGTTATTGGCTCCCGAAGCGATTTGGACACATGGGAACTGATTTTCTATTCTCGAGCCTTGCATTTGGGTGGTAGATGGCATCTGGCCGAGAGCTGTGAAAGGAGTGGGAGGGTGTTAACAGAGTGTGTACGTAACTCTCACAGTTTGTTTGAGCGAGAGAGTAAATAGTTTGCTCCTCAGGACTACGAAGGCTGAACATATGATCACTGGCTGTGAAAAACCCTTGTCCATTTGTCTAATTATTTCTTTCTTTTCACTTTAAAGGTTTTTTGTGGGCCATCACATTTTGCTGTAATAAACAGTTCCTTATGCTGTAAGAGTTATTTTTAATTAGCAGGTTTCTTCATGACCTGCTAATTACATCAATAATCCATGCAAGTGGTTGGCTCATTATAAAATCAACATGATGTCAAATTTGACCTTGTTTATTTTATCAACAAATGTTACTGAACTTCTTGTGCATGATTCATCACTTTATTCCCAAATGTTTTTCATAATTGTTTGTTATATTGTCTTGTTCTGCCTCTCTTTCTTTGTAAACCCCAACTTTCTATCCACCTGCTATGTAAAATCCATACTTAATGATTCAGTCAATTCATATGTATAAAAGCAGGTCCCACTCCCACAATTTTTCTTGTTGAATATTCTGTTTCACTCAGAATTATGCTAAATTACAGAAGTAAAATGAGTTGTGAACAGTTCATGCTGAATGTGTGTTTATCTTTCTTCATGCAGCATTAAGTCGCTCTGCAATGCCATTTGGTCTGATGCGGAGGGAGTTGGCATGCGAGGGTTACCCCATCGAGCTCCGCTGCCCCGGCAGTGATGTCATCATGATCGAGACAGCCAACTATGGCCGCACGGATGATAAGATCTGTGATGCCGACCCCTTTCAGATGGAAAATGTACAGTGCTACCTGCCAGACGCCTTCAAGATCATGTCACTAAGGTAGATCAGAACAGTGTTTGTTTTTACAGTTCCAATTTGAGTCATAGTTTTTGTCTTTTGATGACCAAAATCCCTTTAAATTTAATCAATATTTTGTCATATTCATTCATTTTAGTCAGTTTTGCCTCTGAATAGTGGCAGCTGAAGATGACATTTTAGGTACTGATAATGTGCAAAATGTGTCAAACTGTAACAGAGCAAACAAATTTTAAAGCATTTTGGAAAAAAATCTATTCTATTCTATTCTATTCTATATTATCACACTTCCATTCAGCATACAATTGGGGTCAGTATACATGCACAGTTGTGGTCAAAAATTTACATGCATTTTGCAGTATCTGCAAAATGTTAATTATGTTACCAAAATAACAGGGATCATATAAAATGCATGTTATTTTTTTATTTACTGTAGTACTGACCTGAATAAGATATTTCACATAAAAGACATTTACATATAGTCCACAAGAGAAAATGATAGTTGAATTTATAAAAATTACCGTTTAAAAGTTTACATACGCTTGATTCTTAATACTGTGTTGTTAGCTAAATGATCCACAGCGGGGCTTTTTTTATTTTTTATGGTTGTTCATGAGTATCCTGTTTGTCCTGAACAGTTAAACTGTCTGCTGTTCTTCAGAAAAATCATTCAGGTCCCACAAATTCTTTGGGTTTCCAGCGTCTTTTGCGTATTTGAACCCTTTCCAATAGGGATGCACCGATACCACTTTTTCCAGTACTCGCCCGATACCGATACTTTTATTTTTGGTACTTGCCGATACCGAGTACCGATACCAATATTTTTATTGCATTTGTAAATTTTTTAAATATTGGGTACAGAAACCAAAAGAGTATGTATAATGTTAGTTGGTTAACTTCATTTATTAAATAGATACAGTCAAACCAACATTTATTCAGACACCTTCAACATTTCTCACATTATCACAGTTTATTCGCTATAGTTTAGAAAATGGTAATAAAATATGACAAGAACTCAGATTTAAACTGTGTCAGAACAAATTCAGCTTGATAATGTTAGATAACTTTGATAGAAAGGTATGTAATAGATTACAATCAACCAAAAATTATTCAGACAGCTG